AAGAGCTTGGAGGATACGTCTACCCAGAATTCCAGTTCTGTCTGCAGGAAGTTTTGGCACAAGAGGGCTGCTGGGTATGGGACCGGAGAAGCAGAGATGGGTGCGAATAAAGATGCTTCAGTAAGTAAAAGATTGGGAAAGCTCCCCTTCACTTCCTCGGTTACTTGTTCCTTTCTTTCTCCCTTTCTTTCTTTCTCTCTTTCTTTCTTTCTTCTTTCTTCTTTTTCTTTTTCTTTTAATAGGAAAGGAAGTGCCTCTTAAATGCGTGGGGGTGGGAATGGAGAGGAAACCCGTTGTTGAGCAGAAGCACTAGCTTTTTATTTTAAAGAAATAAAAATAATTACCCGGCAGAGAAAGAAATCAACCAAGAAGCAGCCCGAGGTCGTGACACCATGTGTGGTACAAGGAGCAATTCAGCCCATAAGGGCTTCATTACCCCCGCAATAGATAACATTTGGCTAAATCTCGCTGCAGATTAAATCCCCGCAGCACAACAGAGCCTTGAATGAAGAGGCTCCTTTTTGTGTGGTCCTGCCTCGGGAGCGGCCTGAACCATTAGCCCCAATATATCCCTCTCCCCATTAACTGCAATTCCCTCCCGACTGGGCTTCGGTCATTTGTCTCCCGGCTCTACGGGGGCGTTGGAGGAGTAAAGAAACAAGGGGAAGGGAGAGAAAGGCGTCGGGTTAATGAGTTGTAGCAAATCCACACTTTGTAGTCGGGAGGAGGAGAGCTGGTGGCCAATGTTTGTCCAACCGGTTTATTTTTCGAGACCCAGCCTATTGAGGAAGGCTTGTTCGAGAAGCCTTCTAGCCTACAAACACACAAACATCCTTCTGTTTGCCTTCAAAGAAAAGGGGACCAGCGCTGGATTTGCATGCGAATGAGGAGCCCCAGGAGGAGACATCCTTGCCCATCAAAGGCCTGGGTAGCCCGGCTTCCTTTGTTCCAGCACCTGCTTGCCAGCACAGCCTGGCGCCCCACACTCCTGGCTCACCCGTCCAAGGCCCGCGGTCCAGTCCTGGGCCTACACCCAGCCTCTGCCCCGCACCAATCTGAGCCTATATCTTAAGGCCTCTTACTATCTCCCCGCAGGTCTGCTGAGTAAGTAAAACCTACTACACACCCCCAAATCTCAGATAGGAGACTGAACCTGGTGGGATGCAATGGACAAGCAGGAGGCCCTCACTGCACCCGGCAAGATCAAAAGCGGGTTTGCGGTCTGCTGCCCTAGAAAGTGACCGGGGAGCCCAGCCCAGGCAAAGGAAAGACATAGCTGTGGTACCCTGCTTTCGGGGCACCTACGCACTCATTCTCAAAAGGGGAAAAAAAAATCACACTGTTTTGCTTTTGGCTCTCTTTGCAATAACTTTCAAATCTAAAAGTCCGTTCTGTGCGTTCCTCAAGTCTACAGGCAAGCAAGCTGCTGTATCTATGCCTTTGGGTCCCGCCTGTGAATGCCTCTGTAAAGGGGCTCTTGGGGTGCAGAAGGTCTGGGGTCCGAGGTCTGCTCTCTTTTAAAGCTATGCTGGAGTATACAAGAAGCCTTTGCATATAAGATCTTCATTTACAATTTGCTATAGATTTGGTGGTACGGTTCGGTGTGAGTGTTTTTACTCTAACTTCTTTACTTTTCCCCACATAATCTCTTAGGGGGGAAAAACAAAACATAACTTTCATCTTGAGATATATATATATATATATTTTAGTCTTTTCCTTCCTCAGATGTGTGGAGGAAGGGACAAGCCATTAGAGTGACCAGCTGGGCACAGTACTGGCCTATAATGCACATGTCATGAATTGGATAGGTTAAATCTGTAGGTCTTCAGATACCATAGTGTGGACACTTAGCCACATTTTAAAGAAACTGAATAAACAGATTCAATGTCCACTGAAAACCTGCTGACCCGAAGCATTCAAATTATGTGTTACGGATAAATCGGCTACAACCAGAGCTCACAGTACCATGTGTACTCATCAAGACTTGGCTTCTTTCAGAAACTGGATGTTGAATGTAATCAACAATGAAAGACTTAAAATTTGAAAAGGGATACCCCAAATCACCCAAATTGCTTATTTAGTTCAATAAACACCCAACGTGCTCTATCTTTAAATCTTTGAACCATATACTCTAGTATATAGATGACAAATTTCTTACTCTTAGGCTATTCATTTAACCTAAAATTTCAGTAAGTTTGCCTTTGCGCTCAGAACTCATTTGTGCGATTCCTGGACTCACATTTATCCTAAGTGCTAGAACATTCGCATACAATTCATGTTATAAGTGCAAATATTTGCTTATCCGGGACTTTTAAACACTTTAAAGAGATAATCTGTGCATCTCTTTTGGCCGTTAAATTTTTAAACTAGAAACTGCCTCTGCTGTGTTACTTCCATTACTGTTTGAGCTTTTTTTCCTTTTCAACATTGTGCTGAAAAGTGAGCAGGAATTAACTCGGGAATTTCACAAATCAAAGCAAACACTCCTATTAAATTATCTCAGGGTGACTAAAACTTCAGCGTTCAAAATGTCTTGTTGATCTTTAAGATGGGCACGGCTTAGACTTGGAAATATCTAGCAAAGGACCTGCCTTCATTTGCAGTCACTGAAACATAAATTCCGATCTTCGATGGTTCTGACTTGGAAAGTTTAAATAAAAAACTATGGCATCGTGCTACCGTGGTTATGTTAGGCTTTCTTTGAAAGTAATATTTAAGTAGATTCTGTACTGAGTTTGGACTTATCTATAAGACTTTTTTTTCCTTAACAGAAAAAAAAAACTAAGACAGGGACAATTCAGCCATTACTTAGTTGGCTTTTCTTTGAAAATTAAGCATTTTATTTCTGAAAAAAAAAGTGTAAAAATCTTACATTAGAATAGTACAATAATAATTGCCAGTAAAATTTACAATACTCCTTGTAAAGAATACGCTGTAAGTACAAAATAAAAATTCCGCATGTCCATTATGATACAAAACACAGGTTAAAATAAGAAATGATAGATTTTGACTTGTTGCTTGTGTAAACATGTTAATCTTTTTTTTTCCTTTCCATGAAAAAGTACACCAAACAAGTGTGAGCAAATAAAGGCATTTCTTGGAGACCTTTACTAGTTTTGTATGAGCTTCATATAAACATTATTGATTTGTTTGTTTTGTTTTAACGCCTGGACCTGAGAATCTCTATACCTCAAAAAAGCTTAGTTTTGATGCTTTTGGTTGGTTTTTTCTCAATTTGTCAAAAGTCAAAGAAGCCTCTAGTGCCAAAACGGGGCGACTCCCCCTAACACCCTCTTCCTTCCCACCCCAAGTCAGGATTGCAGCATTGGGCGATTTTTGCATAAATAGAGGGACCCGCTGAGCCAAACTGCGCGGCGCCCCAGCTGTCGCCCCAACACAGTCAGGTCCAGGAATCCGAAGCGCCGAAACTAGGGGCGCGAGGTCGCCGAGGGCCCGGAGGGGCGAACAAAACCAACCACCCCTCCGCCGAAAGGAGCCGGGAGTCCTACCTTCGCTTTCTCACGCGCGCTAACGGCGGCGTTTCTAACAATTGGAAATCCTAGCAGTAAAGTTCTCCACACTGGACAGCGCAGCCCCCTGGTGCAGAGTCCCCAGCGCGGCCGACGACGACACGGACGAGGCGGCGGCCGCAGCGGCGACCACGAGCGAGCGGGTAAGCGCGGCAGCC